GCTCTTCTTGTTTAACATACTGTCTTCATTTTTTATTTTTATCTAATGAAGATTATTATTATTCTTTGTAGCCTCATATGTAGCATGTAAACTTCTAAAAATATAATGGTGAATGTTGGTTTCAAAATTTTTAAGTTGCCCAAATATGAATATACTTTCTATGATTTGTAGATACCTCCTTTTTTAAAAAAAAGAAATATTGCTTTCCTTCAGTTTCACACTGAAAGTGAGATCCCTATTGTGGATGAATCTGCCTTGTTCTCGTTGTCTAATGGCCCCAGGAATAGAACTCTCCACGTAAGGCATACATTTTTTAAAAAGTAACCTTTTCCTTCCAGACCTCTTAAGCCATGAAAATGCAGCAACGCTGAACGATGTAAAAACACTAGTCCAGCAGCTATACACTACACTGTGCATCGAGCAGTACCAGCTAAGCAAGGAGAGGGAGCTTATCGAAAGATTAGAGGATCTCAAAGAGCAATTGGCGCCCCTGGAAAAGGTACAAATTCAAACCTCAGACTTTTCTCTTCACTGATATTTTTTTCAAAGAATATATGTTTGCTTTTTTTACCTCCACTTTAAGTTTGCTTTTTTATGTAATTAAGCTGTGTCAATCAAACTAGTCCACTAGTTTTTAGGACTGAGCCATAAAAAAGTTCCAATCAAAGCTAAGAAAAGACTTAAATAGTTTGGAGCCTTGATAATGGACTTGAAGCTTTGAGGTCTGAATGTCTGCCCTTACCCAGATTTACCACCTTTACAACAAAGATTGGAATAACTGCTGATGAAGAAAGGTTTTGAGGAGAGTGGGTAATGATTTTAATCAAGTTAAGAAGTATATAGAATATTCTACAGCTGTTTAGCATGATTGTGTAGACCTAATATACTATACAAAACTATTCATATGTTTTATGGAAAGGAAATTATAAAAATAAGCATATTAGTACATACTGTGATCCAAGTTTTAAATGTATTATGCTCATAGTTATATATATTTATGTATTTTAAATACATACATATGTAGAGAAAGATATGCCAATAGAGCAGTAGGATTGTGATTGATTTTTTACACTTTCTGAGTATTCTAGAATTAACATGTCATTCTTATTTTTTGATGATGCAAGTATTTTCATTTTAAGAAATTAGATTATAAGAGATTAACAAAGAGAACAAATACTCTTTATATTGTGCTTTTTCTGATTTCTTTAAAAATAACACATATCTCAAGGTTGTTCTCATTGAACTTAAGACCATTAGAAAGCTGTGATATAAGGGTTAATGGGAGAGAAGGGGAAACATGTAAATACTTTCAACAATAAAGATTAAAAACAAGAAAGTTGTGTTAAACTAAATTTAAGAAACTGTTGTCAAGAGGGACGAGTTTTAAATTTGGTATTTTCAAAACGTAAAGCATTTTTAATGTGTCAACTATAATAAAGTAATTATCATCCTATACTGTATATTTACTGTCTACCAGGAATTATGGTAAGTATTTTACCTGCATTCTGTTAATCCTCAGAGCAACTCAATACTGAAGTTACTGGTGATTTGCAATGACGGCTTAAGCTCTTCCGGCCCAAATCCAGAGTCCATGTTCTGACTCCCTGTGCTGGTCTGGCAACTCCCTAGTAAACCCTTTGAGTAAAAACTGATCATAGATTAAATTTTATATGTAACAGTGAGAGAACATTTGCATGCTTTCATTTCCCTCTTCTTAAAGAAAATAAACTTGTAGTTGGATGAAGAACTGTTGAAATTAACTTATTCACTCCTGTAGTTCTCCATATTTTCAGCCACTTCTAGGATGAAACATTAAACACAGTGTCCTAAATAAATATTACTCCTTTTAAATATGTTATTCAGTGAGAACTATTTAGGAAGACAAACTATATTTAATAGAACTGAGACTAACTTGTATCTTGATTATGAGTCCTGTTTCTTTAGTGAACATAGAACAGTTTAAATAAGAGTTTTATAATAATTCTATGTCAAAGTGCTTTACGATTGATCGATTATGTGTGCCCCATAGGTACGAATTGAGATTAGCAGAAAAGCTGAGAAGAGGACCACTTTGGTGCTATGGGGTGGACTTGCTTACATGGCCACACAGTTTGGCATTTTGGCCCGGCTTACCTGGTGGGAATACTCCTGGGACATTATGGAGCCTGTCACCTATTTCATCACTTATGGAAGTGCCATGGCAATGTATGCATATTTTGTAATAACACGCCAGGTAAGAATTCTTCTCCAAGTAACTTTTTATGAGATAGTAATGAAGTTTTGGTTGTCAAAGTAGTTCTCTTTTCTCTCATATTCTTTCTTTTTTGTTTTTGTTTTTAAATACGTTTTCATTGATTTCAGAGAGGAAGGGAGAAGAAGAGAGAGATAGAAACATCAATGATGAGAATCATTGATCAGCTGCCTCCTTCACACCCCCTACTAAAGATTGAGCTCACAACCGGGCATGTGCCCTGACAGGAATTGAACCGTGACCTCTTGGTTCATAGGTCAACGCTTAACCACTAAGCCATACCAGCTGGGATCTCATATTCTTTCTAAGGCCAGTTCCCTTTAAGTACTCATTTATCCTTTACACACACACACACAAACACACACACACACACACACACACGTAGGTGCACATGCATGCCAATTATGTATCAGGCACTATTTTATTTTTTAAAGTTTTTTTTTATTACATGTATACATCCTATATAATAAAAGCCTAATATGCTAAGTGTCCAACCATTTGACCAGTCGCTATGACATGCATTGACCACCAGGGGGCAGACACTCCGACCAGTAGGTTAGCTTGCTGCTGGGGTTGGGCAGATCGGGACTGGGCGAGATGGGCCGGACACACCCTGGAGCTCTCCCTGTGCTCCCTTCCCAGCCCCAATCATGCACCAGTGGGGTCCCTCAGCCTGGCCTGTGCCCTCTCACAATCCGGACCCCTCAGGGGATGTTGAAGAGCTGGTTTCACCCTGATCCCCACAGGCTAGGCCGAGGAACCCCACCAGTGCATGAATCTGTGCACTGGGCTTCTAATGTATATACATAAAAGCCAAGCAACTGGAACAACCAGAATGATAGGAACAACCGGTCACTGTGACATGCACTGCAGCCCTCCACTGGCCCAATCGGGGGCAGGGCCGGCTAGCTAACCTCCTGCGTCCCCTCCCCCCAGCCAGCTGGCTCCGATTGGCCCCAATCAGGGTGGGCCGGCTGGACCCCATCTGTGCACGAATTCGTGCCCTGGGCCTCTAGTCCTATCTAATAATAGACAAACATGGTAATTAACCGTACCTTCACTACCATCGCCATTGGCTGATCAGCACGATATGCAAATTAACCACCAACAAAGATGGCTAATTTGCATACTGCAGGCAGGGTGGGACACCAGGAACTGCCATCCAGGCCCCTGTGTGCAACCCCAGGAGCTGCCAGAAAGCCAGGCCACAGGCAAGGTGGTCCCCTGGGACCCAGGAGCCCGTTGGCAAGGTCTGCAGGTGAAGCAGCGATCAAGCTATGAGGGGGAGGGTGGGGGGTGGAAAGAGCTACAGGAGCAGCTCTGGTCAGAGACTGAAGACTCCGGCTGGAGTGAGGAGCAAAGACTGAAGGCTCCAGCCTCAACGAAGACTGTGTCTAGAGCGGAGATGGAAGGCAGTGGCCAGAGTGAAGGTCTGGGTCCCGGGTGCCAGAGGAAAACTCGTGCTGGCAGCCAGGGGAAAGAAGGCCTATTGCACGAATCTTCATGCAACGGGCCTCTAGTATATATATATTTTGAGAGAGGGGGAGTAGGATAGAGAGATAGAAACATCATCGATTGGCTGCCTCCTACATACCCCTACTGGGGATCAAGCCCATAACCCGGGCATGTGCCCTGATAGGAATTGAACCAGCGACCTCTTGGTTCATGAGTTGGTGCTCAACCACTGAGCCACATCAGCAGGGAATCAGGCACTATTTTAGATGCTAAAGAGACAGATATAAGATATGGCTTCTGCCATCATGAAGCTCACAGACTATAAAAAGAGCCATATAAACCATTAAATTCGGAAAACTATATTACAGTAAGTTATAGAATAAGAGGACAAGTGAGAAGAGTCGCCAGTAGTAAGATAACTTGTTCAGCTAAGTTGGTTGACCTTTTATGTACTGTGTAATTAATGGTCAGATGGAGTAGTCCCAAGCTTTTGGTTTTTGTTAAATTCTTGGAATAAAGAATTGGTGATACCTAAACAAACAGTTAAACTAGCCCAGCCAGCGTGGTTCAGTGGTTGAATGTCGACCTATGACGGTTCAATTCCTGGTTCGATTCTCAATCAGGGCACATGCCCAGGTTTCGGGCTCGATCCCCAGTGTGAGGCGTGCAGGAGGCAGTTGATCAGTGATTCTCATTATTGATGTTTCTATCTCTTTTTCCCTCTCTGAAATCAATACAAAAAAATACTTTGAAATAGTTAAACTAAACTCTGGGCTACTTTTCAGTATGTTAAGCGAATACGTGGGGTTTTTTGTTACTGTTTTAACTTCATGGAAGAGAGGCAAAAATTAGATATCTAATCATTTTATACTCTTGGGTCTATTCTTTATCAACCAACGCTCATTTATTACTTATCAGTAGCTATTAAAGACACTGTTTGAATTGGTGGAATTTTTTTCTTTGAAATAACAGAAGCTCATTTCATATTTTCTCTCATTAAATAACTGTACTTACTTCAAATTCAACCTGCAATACTTTATTTTCTTATGAAGCCAATGAAATAGTCATTAATTATTAATAACACTGTCTCCTTAATAAATAGCTAATTGTCACTCCGTAAGTAAATATCAGTAGCTAGAACTAATTTTTGTTGCCAGTGATTTTTTTGATTTTTTTTTTTGGAACTTGGAAATTTATAGTGTCACTTAAGGAAGTATGAGGGATTTATTATCACTTATTATATATGTGATACCACCACAGATCCAACCCCCCTTAATAAAAAAGAAACATTTGAAATAGCTGAGACATGTCTCTATTTCCTTAGGAAGCAGAAAAAAGCTAAGAATTGTTTATCTTATATTTTTAATGGCTGCTATAAACTATTGGCATTTTTCTTCTGTTGTTGTTAGAACAGTGGTCATGGGCCTGTTTATGTGTAGAAAAATGAAAGCCCAAGAGTATTATTTAGCCTTTTGTCCTCCTAAACTTGTCTGTAGAGAAGAGAGATGGTAAACCGTTCATGTCTGCCATTGTTCACTCAGTGTCTCCAGCACCTTCCATGTCTGGCTCATACTACTCACTCTTGAACAGAACTGAACAGCCAGAAAAATGTATCTAATCACAGCTCTGGACAGGACTTGCATATGTCTATCTGTCTATGTGTGGGTCTTTCCCTCTCCCCTCACTCATCTTCCCTCTTCCCTTTTCTCTCTCTCTCCCCTTTAGATACATACCCCTTTAATGGGTTCTTTTTATGTGTTTATTGATTGAAGTCCAGACCCCTTAGCCTGCTATTGCCTTTGCTGTTGTTTTCTGTCTTTTCCAAATGTCTATCAACCCCGCTGTGTATGTCTGTGTTCTAAAAAAATCAAATTATATTCTTTATTTCCCCGCAAATACCGAGTTGTTTAAACCCTCATTCCTTACTTCACACATTCTATCAACTGAAAAAGTTCTCTCTGTTGATCTCTACCTGTCATATTTCAAGATCTACTTAACTGCCTATCTTTCATGAACCTTTGACCTACAGCCAACTTCAAATTCTTCAGAATTCCTATAAGCACATTGTGCCTCTCATTTCACTCATCCTGTGCTATCTTGTATTATAATTGTTCATGTACAATGTCTTTTCCCTCCTACTAGACTATGATATCTTTTGAGGCTTGGCATTTAGTTTTTTCAATTTTTATTGCCTAACACTGTGCTTATATCTTTAATAGCCTATCTGCCATACTAGTTAAATGCTATACTAGTACTTCTGTGATTCCAAAGCATTTTTGCTGCCCCCAAGTGGCAAATTGCAAAATAGCAGTAGTAAATAACCTTGTCATTTGTGACTAAGAAAACTTGACCAAATAAAATATAGATTCTCAAGTTAAATATCCATATTCACAGTTAACGTCCATGAAGCAAAATGTTTGTTCAACATCATTTAAATTCTTTTAAACTCTTGTTACAATGAGATGCTGCATTTGTTAGCCACCTAAATGTATTCCAATAGTATGTTAAGTTCACAAGAATCTTTATAAAATGATAAGCTCCTTTAATTCATAAAATCAAGTGGAATATTGAATTTTACTGACTAATATTTCAGTGAAACCTGAGTCTCCATTTCTGTTATGGAAAAAAGAAGCCTGACTACATAAGAATTGCCATTCGAGCTACTTCAGCATGCATGTGGATTGCCCATCTAACACTCTGCATTTTCTTTCTTTATTTTGAAGCGAGAGGGAGAGGGAGAGGGGAAAGAGAGAGAAACATCAACTTGTTGTTCCACTTATTTATGCAGTCATTGGTTGATTCTTATATATGCCCTAACTGGGAATTGAACCCACAATCTTAGCTTGTCAGGACAACACTCTAACTAACTGAACTACCCAGCCAGGGTGCCCATCAAAGGGGATATTGCCTCCAAGGGGAAGAAAATTGGTTCTTGAAGAGTAAAACATCTTAGATGTTTATAATATATCAATAAATATACAGTGTATTCGTGGTATTAAACCTTTTTGGGAATGAGGGTAATCAGGAAAAAAAATACCTAAAAAGGCTAGTTAGGGGGACAATAATGAAAAAAGAAAAGTAGCTTTTAATACCCTTGTTATCTCTATTTCAACAACTGTCATTTATATTCTACTCTAGCAAACCACTTCAATGATTGTTCAGTACCTTCTTTCCTTGAACTGCCTTACTTATATACCAACTTCTGACCGCAATTTATTTTCTTTCTAGCCCTTTAGTTCACTCACTTTCTCCTTTGACTTCGTCCAGATCTTTAGGCTTCTGATAGCTCTCGCTCTTAATTTTTTACTATCACCTTCCTCATGTGTTGCTTTCTTTTCTATCAAACTTAGGTCATATTGCCCTTCTCTTCTTAGTATTTAACAATCCTTACCCCATTGTCTTTCCACCATAGGTACTCTATAAATTCCTAACCTTAGCCATTTATCCTATATCCAGACTACTGCACATGGCTAGAGAAAAATCATAAATAGTGTGCAATAGGCCACTGCTTAGATTTTCTTCCCCAATACTCCCACAGTATTTATTCTAAGACTTTACATTAAACTCCCCATGTCACCCTTAACCTTACCTCCTACTTATAAGAAATTCAGATAACAAATATAAGCTTTCTAATTCCTAAATTTGTATGTTTAACAATATTTGTATTTACTGTCATCCTATTTCCTTTAAGCTCAAATAAGAGGTATCATTTCCCTGTTCAGGGCTAGCTCCTCTACCTGTTTTTAGCCCCACTCTCCACCCCTACTTCTAGTATCTTACTCTGGTTTATTGTTTGTGTTCCCTGTGTTATCAACCATCTTCCTCTATGAATTTCTTCCCAAGCTGTCTGCATCTCTTCTCACTAATTATCAAATCATCAGATTTCTAAAATATAGTCTAGTACATAGTTGCTTAGTAAATGCTTGTTGCCCAAAAGAGGGAGCAAAGAATAAAATTGAATAAATTTAAGTTTGTGTATATAGTTACATTCTAAGCGAAGATAGGTAAGTAACCTAGTAACTGCAACTTAGATGAAAGTAAAGGGCTTTCCCTCAAGTTTTTAATCCAACAGTTATCCCTTCAGTTAATATTTATCTATTATCTGTCATCATCAATAATTGAATATTTACTTCTACTTCTAGTATGGCATACTAGGTAATCAGACTCCCATTAGGAAAAATTAAAATAAGCAGGCAAAATGTAAAATGCATCTGACTGTGGTGGACATGGGAGAGCCAACAAGATAGAAACAATTACCAGGCAAGGACCTGAAGAAGTAGAATGCTGGAAAGTGAACCTGATACTAGGTTTGCTTATTCCTCTGGAGATTTACATTAATTAAGGATGGTAAAGCTGAGAGGCCAAGAAGCTGAGCCATCTTTGATAATTTAAAACAGGGGTGGGAAACATCTGGCCCTCAGGCCATATAAGGCCCGAGAAATCATTTGGTCTGGTCCTCCAAGGCATGGGGATGAGTTAATTAACCGTTTGACCAAATATAGCAGGCTAATTTTTAAGTTGATTATTTTGTATGGCCTGCAAGTGATGTTATAAATATCCAAATGGCCCTTGGCAGAATAAAGGTTCCCCACTCCTGATCTAAAGGATCAAAGCCATAGAAATTGGTGTCCAGGGATCACTAAAGTAGGTTCTCTCAGAGACTGTAGCTCATCTTCAATCATTTCAATCCCAAAATTAGATTGAAGTAGTCCTAGAATTCTTGTCATTCCAGAATGCTAATGCTCACAAGTTCTAGGCAGAAGTGAACAAATCATCCCTGAGCAGAGAAGTCAAGAAAAAGAAAGGCTGTAAAGATTGGAAAGAAAGAAAACTGATATGATTAATAGATTTATACATTTAAAAAATACAAAAATATCTACACTAATAAAAGACAAACATGCAAGTTGACTGCACCTTCGCTACACCTTAAGCCACACCAGAGTGACTATATGCAAATTAACCCAACCAAGATGGCAGCCGGCAGCCACAGAGCTGGAGCAAGCAGGAGGCTTGGTTGCCACAGTGATGGAGGAAGCCAAGCTTCCCGGCTGCCATGGCTGGCTCTGAGCTCCACTCAAGGCAACAAAGTTTCAATTATAGAAGATAAATAAACCACAGATATCTGCTTTCAACCGGCCTTGGCAACGGAGCTGGAGCAAGCAGGAGGCTTGGATTGCCCCTGGCAGTGGAGGAAGCCAAGCTTCCTGCCCGGCCTGGCCGGCTCTAAGCTCCACTCAAGGCTACAAAGTTTCAATTACAGAAGGTAAATAAATCCCAGAATAAAAGAAAAAAGGAGAGGCTGGGAGCTTCCGTCGCCAGGGATCTTGGCCAGCCTGAAAACAGCCCTCAGCCCCTCACCCACACTGGCCAGGCACCCCAATGGGGACCCCCCCCCCTAAAGGGGCTGTAGCCAGCCTGAAAACAGCCATCAGCCCCTCACCCAGGCTGGCCAGGCACCCCAGCGGGACCCCCACCCTGATCTGGGACACCCTTCAGGGAAAACCAGCCACGCCCCACCCGTGCACCAGGCCTCTATCCTATATAATAAAAAGGTAATATGCAAATTGACCCTAACAGCAGAAGGACTGGGAATGACTGGTCACTATGACACACACTGACCACCAGAGGGCAGATGCTCAATGCAGGAGCTGTCCCCTGGTGGTCAGTGCACTCCCACAGGGGGAGCTCTGCTCACCCACAAGCCAGGCTGATGGCTGCCAGCACAGTGGTGGTAGCAGGAGCCTCTCCTGCCTCCTCAGCAGCACTAAGGATGTTCGACTGCAGCTTAGGTCTGCTCCCTGGTGGTAAGTGTATCATCCCTCAAGGGTTGCCGGGCTGCCAGAGGTATGTCTGACTGCCAGCTTGGGCCCGATCCCCCAGGGAGCGGGCCTAAGCCAGCAGGTGGACATCCTCCGAGGGGTCCCAGACTGCAAGAGGGCATAGCCTGGGCTGAGGGACCCCCCTCTAAAGATAATTGGTTAGAATCCTTAAGTGAGTTTCACAAGGTTACTGGATACAAGGTCAATATACATAAATCAGTTGCTTTACTATATGCCAGCAACAGTTAGAAAATGAAACTTTATAAAAGATGCAACTTAAAAATACCAGGAAATTAATTATGCAAAGACCTCTATGCAGTAGAAACACAAAATTAAAGAAGACTTAATGGAATAATATAGCATGTTCACAGACTAGAAAAGTAAGTATTACAGAAATGTCAATCAGTTCTATCCAAACTGATCTATTTGATTCAGTGCAATCCCAGTCAAACGCAACAGATTTGCGGATGGGGGAAGATATTTGAATAAGCTGCTTCTAAAATATATATATGGTAATGTAAGACCAAGAAAAGCCAGGAAACACTTGAAGCAAAACTAGGTAAATCAATTTGTTTTATCAGATGTGGAAGACTATATAGCTTTAGTTATAACAATTAAGTTATAGTAATTAAGATAGTGGAACAATGATAGACAAATAGTACAAAGGGATAGAAGAGAGAATGTAGAAAACAGCATAAATGAACTTTTGATTTTAAAAAGATGGCACTGCAAAGAAAGGAAAGTCTTTTTTGATAAATGGTGCAAGGATAATTGAATATCTGTATTAAAAATGAACCGACCCCATCCTTATACTGTAAACAAAATTAGTTCCAGATGGATTGTAGATCTAAATATGAAAAGTAGCACAATAAATAAAGCTCCTGGAAGATAATATAGAAGAATATTTCAATTACTGTGGAAAGGAAATTATTTCTTAAGTAGAATAAAAAATGATAACCATAAAGATAAGAATGATAAAATTAAAAATGTCTGTTATTAAAGCACACCATAAAGAGGGTGAACAGACTGGGAGGAGATCTTTGCAGTACATATATCGAATAAAGGATCCATATCTATAATATCTATAATAATAAAAGCATAATATGCTAATTAGACCGGACATCCTTCCGGGCATCCTTCTGGATGAAGCTAGGGCTGTGAGGGCCAAGCCCCTTGCACAGATTTCATGGATCAGGCCTCTAGTATATCTCTAAGAGAAATAAAAACATAATGTGCACACAAAAACTGGTACATGAATGTTCATAGCAGTCTTATTCATAGTAGTCAAAAAGTAGAAATAACCTGTATGTCTATTAATTGATGAATGGATGAATTGTGGTATATCCAGTCAATGGAATATTATTTGGCAATAAAAAGAAGTAGTACTGATACATGATACAAATGGATGAACCTTGAAGAAAGCCAGACACAAAAGGCTAAACATTGAATAATTCCATTTATATGTAATGTCCAGAATATACAAATCTATAGAGTTAGAAAGTAGATTAGTAGTTGCCTAGAACTGGAGGTGTTGAGGAAGATAGGAAGTAACTATTAGAGTATGGGGCTTCTTTGGGAGATGATGAAAATGTTCTAAAATTGATTGTAGTAATGGTGGTGTAACTTTGTGAATATACTAAAAACCATTGAATATTATACTTTAAATGAGTGAATTGTATGGTATGTAAATTATATCTTTGTAAAGCTGTTTTTAAAAAATGAGGTAGTACTTCAGCACTCACACAGTAGAATTCCTATTTAAAAAACTGGTAATACCAGCATTTACAAGGATGTAGAGTGATGGGAACTCTCATACTTTGCTGATGGGAGTATAATTGATACAATGATTTTAGAAATCTGTTTGATATCACTTCTTAAATTTGAACATATGCATAAACTATGATGTAGGATTCCTACTCATAAGTATATACCCAACAGAAGAGATAAGTCCAGAAATGTTCTTGGCAGCATTATTCATAATAGCCTGAACCTAGAAACAACTCAAAAGTCTATCAATAGTCCAATGGATAACTAAATTGTGATGTAGTCATACAATAGAATGTAACATGGCAAGAGAAATGAAGAGACTATAACTACATACAAAAGATGAATCTCATAAACATAACATTGAGTGAAAGTAGTCATATACACACTATCTAACTTCATTTTTATAAAATTCAAAGAACAGGTAAAACTAAGCTGTAGAGTTCAGGGTGGGGGGGGGGATGCTTAAATGGAGAAGCTATAAGGAAAACCAGAAAATAATTATCATAAAAGTCAAGGTATTTATTACTTTGGGAGGAAGGAGGGTTAGTAATTGGGAAGGGGCAGAAGGGAGCTTCTGGGTTGTTTGGCAGTGTTCTGTTTTTTTTAAGCTGGTAATGATTAGCATGTTCAGTATGTGATGATTCGTTGTGATGCACATTTTTAGTTTGTGTGCTCTTCTGTGTGTGTTTCCCAATAGAAATGTTTATGAAACAATTAAATATTGAATACAACACATGTCAGCATATACTTTTCTGTCAAGGGCCAGATATTTAATTAACTCACCCCGAATGCTTTGGCCAGACATCCCCCACCCCTGCTTTATATGTATGCATATGTGTTGAATCTTATCAACAGTATGTAAATGATTACTTTGTGAAGAAGGTATGCTAAGGACTAATAATTTAATTTCTCCTTTATTTTGCAGGAGTATGTTTATCCAGAAGCCAGAGACAGACAATACTTATTATTTTTCCATAAAGGAGCCAAAAAGACACGTTTTGACCTAGAGAAATATAATCAACTCAAGGATGCAATTGCTCAGGTAAGTTTTCAAAAATAAAATTTAATAAATTTCAGCCCCATTTTGTATGGCATTATCATTATTATTATTTTTAATCCTCATCTGAGAATATTTTCTCCATTGATTTCTAGAGAGAGTGGAAGGGAGGCAAAAGAGAAAGAGAGAGAGAGACATCAACATGAGAGAGAAAGAGACATCGATTGGTTGTCTCCAGCAACTGCTCCTACTCAGGGCTGGGGAACTGCAACCGAGGTACATGCCCTTGACCGGGAATCAAAGCTGTGACCCATCTGTCTGCAGGATGACACTAACCACTGAGCAACTGGCCAGGGATGGCATTATTATTATAATTATCCATAACAACAGTACTTCAATGGGTAAACTGAAAGAATGACCCAACCCTCTTCTTCCTATATAAATTATTCTTCAGCTATAATAATAAAAGGGTAATATGCTAATTAGACCTGATGACCTTCTGGACGAAGCCAGGGCTGAGAGGGAAACCCAGATTTCTGGTGCCTGCCAGTGGCCGGAGGGTAGCCTGGGTTCTGGGTGCCTGCCAGTGGCCAGAGGGAAGCCGGTGCCAGCAGCCGGGGAAAGGAAGGCCTACTCTTGCACTAATTTCATGTACTGGGCCTCTAGTTTGATAAAAATCACTATTTTAGCATAGACACCTCTAAAAGTCTTATAATACAAGCAGGTGAAAAGATGGTGAGTCCTAGCTATCCTATTAACACTAGCATATTGAATTTCTTAGACCTGTTTTTACTTTTTCATTTTGTTTCTTTAGAGTTGTCTTTTTTTACTTTTCTCTCTTTTTAAATCTTTCTTCAATAATTGACACAGAAGTTTCTCTTACCTGGGTTTTATTTTTGCCCCATTGCTACCACACTCCAGGTAAGAGAGAGATTACTAGGAATCTTTGCCCGGAGCAGGTGAGAAGTTATTGAACTAGAAGATGCTTTTTAAAAAGATTGATACAGCCCTAACTGGTTTGGCTCAGTGGATAGAGTGTCAGCCTGAGTGCCAGGAGCCGGTCCATCCTTGCTGTTTCAAGGGACCTGGCGTATATGGCATACTGTTTTTAATATGTTTGCTCATCTTCTTGGCGCTGTGTTTTAACCAAGGTCACCTCTCCGAGAAAGGTTGTTT